AAGAACAAATAAATTTCAAAAAAAAAGAAAAAAAAGAGAAATAAAACTTTTTTTTTAACTTAACTAATAGCTATCGATTACATAAATATTAAAAAACTCGTAATATAATTTTACCATCGCTTATTTTTGAAAATACGCGAGTTTGAATTTTATTAGACAAGTGCGTTATAAGTCTATTGATTTATGTAAAAAAAAAGTCATATCGCGACTGCTTACTTTGGTTCATGCAAGCCTTGTAGAAGTCTTTGGCAAGTCTAAATGGTCTCGGTTCGTTTGGAGGACTCTTCTCCTCGATGCTAGTCCGTAGTTGTTCCAAGAGGGTATCGACGATGACGGAGAACGCATTTACGCTGGTTTTGTCATCGGGAATGACGGTAGAATCGAGGAAGCCGCCGCAGGCGAACTTGTAAAAGTCATCGCACGGCTCCATGTTGCGATCCATATTTTTCAGTATATGTGAGGCTGCGGTATGCGCAAATTAATACGATTCAATATTACTATGTAAAGATTTTCAGTTCTCGCGTGGCGAGATTGATTTATCTTAATATATCCAAATGTGTCTATAGTTTATGTTTCATTGGAATATTTTTGAACAATAAATAATTTATAGAGATAAAAATATTTTTCGTGTTTGTCGGCAAAAGTTTTAATTCTTAGATGAAATAAACATTATCAAAGAGGAAGATATAAAAATTATTGAATATTTTTTAAATACATAACATTTCTCTTATAACGTAGATTCAAAGAATATAATATTTCAATGTTGAATATATGATTTGTTTCTTTTTATAAATGTTTTTAAATTTTATTCAAATAAAATTATAAAATCTTTGTTGAGAGAAAAATATAAAACATTTACTATAAATTTTTCATTTTTATTTTTATTTTATTTTTATTAAAATTAATTAATGTATCAAATAGACAGTTTAAATATACGTTAATATATTTTTTAAGCAAGATGTACTAGAATCTACAATATCATATGATTATATTTTTGAGATTTTAATCTATAAATATTTAGATCGAAATAAACAGAGAAAATTTAAATTCCGCTATATATTTCACTAACCTGTGGTAACGCATCCAGGTGTTAAACATATATCGTCGCATTCCGGGCTTTTCTGTATGACATGGATGCTGCTCGACGTTTCTGAGCCGCTTAACGCTTCGGCTGTGGATGGTAGCATCTCTGTATTAACAGGATCTGTTCTCGTGCGGATGCAGATACGGTTGCAGGTGCGAAAAAAATGCGTAATAGCAACAAATTAGTGGATGGGTGAAGCATCGAGTTACATACAATAAGCTGCCATACAACTTAAATTGCATACAGAGCAAAATTTAATATCTCTCTTTTCGCAAGCGATTAATATGAATTATGCTGTGCATTTATGTGTGTTTCGGTTATCAGTTTTATTGTCTGTCAAAAATGTGGAGTTTTCCGGAAAATCGCATAATGTATTAAAAAAAAAGAGATATACTTTTTCTATGTTGATAGAATTCGATCGGCTACGTTTAAAATTTTACATAATAAATAATAAGCAATTACATAACAATATAAAATATATTTATTACGAAATATAATTTATTATACGAGAACACTCTCAAAAAAATTTGAAAGAATATTTTTACAAAACAGTATATATATTTTTTTATTTTTTTAAATCAGGAGCACGGATTATATAACAAATAATCTATTTGATCTTTTTTTACTTTTTCTTTAAAACGTTTATAGACAGCAATAATCGTTAATAATTTTTATATCGCGGTTTCCTCTTGATTCGAACGCGTTCGCGTAAACGTCACACGCTGCTTCATCTATTATTATTCCTCTGATTGCATATGTAATCACTAAGTATTCACGTAAGGAAAGGCAATATTTCAACGTCAAAATGCCATGTGCGCTGAGTTTCGTATCCCGTCGATTTTTTTAAATACATAGTCTCCGAAAATATCTCGCGGGGATACGTCAGTAATGTCGACGCATTCGCGCAACTCGAAATATTTAGCAACGAGAGTGCTCGCATTGTAAACTGACGCTCGCGATTATGCGTGTAACCGCTTATTATGTCGGTGTAAACACGTGCGGCGGGTGAGTAACTATCAAAACAATGTTTGCTCCAATAGAAATATCAAAATGCGTCAGAGCCGTCCTTTCGTTGACGTCACTACGAATTATACGTCATGAGTGTTGTCGCTTTTTTTGAGAAATGTAATTTCCTCTCGAACTTTTTAAAGATGTGTTTCGTCTTTCCGATGAAAATCTTGCATTAAAAACATTATCGCAAATCTTGCGAAATTAACTTTTTCTTTTTAATTTATATATCTGACTGTTTCTTGCCACTAATAATGGCGAGATAAGACATAGATATTGATAAACAAATAACAACAATTTTTATAACTTTGCGGCATATATATATGTTTGTAACGCCACATACTTTTTCCTTCGTTTAATGAGCTGACAAAGCACTTTTGATAGCAAGACGCATATAAAAGATGCCGACCTATAAATACAATTTACGACAACGATGCAATTCCGCGTGCCTTATTTTCGCACAGTTAAAATTTTTTATGGCATATACCGTTACCAAACGGCTTCGATCGTAAACGTAACCGCCGCTTGTCGCATTGAGCCATTAAAAAAACACGCGTCCTACCTTTCTCTCTCTCTCTCTCTTTCTCTTTCTCTCTTTGAGATATCGAAGAAAAATGTGTACAGATGAACGTTCATATCGGCAAACGATCTCGATGATACGTCTAACAGTCTAACAACCAATGATTAAGAGCGCGTATGATTTAAATACCATTAAAATTTTCGTTAACATCTTCCTGAACACACCAAGATAAATTCAGCCTCTTTAACTGTTTTATTATACATATACGTTTCGCGCTCTCTTTTCCCGCATAACAACTTTTTTAGATCATAAATAAACAATCCGTCATTTGTCAAAAATTAGACAATATAGAATTAAAATTTTAGCTATTTAAATGCATTAAAAAAATTATATCATCGGGAAAGTTTTCTAAGATATCAGAATATTGTCGTTCCTAAATCATTTAACGTGTGTCGCAAGATATATTTATTGCATGGAAGATTTATAAGATACAGTATCTAATAATTTTTTATTGCGCCTCTACTGCATAAGCATAAGCTATTGCAGAAGTTTATCGTTGCCATGTCGCGGAGAATTATGACTTGCTCGCCACTAGCAATTTCATTCCAAGTATTAATGATTAATATAATTGGACGATGTTAAGTAACATCTTTGTCGTAACGCGGGACCAACGTACCTCTTGGGATGCCGATGCATGATACTTCGTTGTTGCACGCGCAGGATCGGATTTATAAATTGCACGCGGCTTAGATTGGAAGAAGTAAAATGAGATCTTCTTCGAAAAATTTTCGGATGTTATGAAAGTCTCATTATGTGAAGGAAGATGAGAAGTTATCATATATTTTTTTTTTCCGACCTATAAATACAATTTACGACAACGATGCAATTCCGCGTGCCTTATTTTCGCACAGTTAAAATTTTTTATGGCATATACCGTTACCAAACGGCTTCGATCGTAAACGTAACCGCCGCTTGTCGCATTGAGCCATTAAAAAAACACGTGTCCTACCTTTCTCTCTCTCTCTCTCTCTTTCTCTTTCTCTCTTTGAGATATCGAAGAAAAATGTGTACAGATGAACGTTCATATCGGCAAACGATCTCGATGATACGTCTAACAGTAATTAAACCAATGATTAAGAGCGCGTATAATTTAAATACCATTAAAATTTTCGTTAACATTTTCCTGAACACACCAAGATAAATTCAGCCTCTTTAACTGTTTTATTATACATATACGTTTCGCGCTCTCTTTTCCCGCATAACAACTTTTTTAGATCATAAATAAACAATCCGTCATTTGTCAAAAATTAGACAATATAGAATTAAAATTTTAGCTATTTAAATGCATTAAAAAAATTATATCATCGGGAAAGTTTTCTAAGATATCAGAATATTGTCGTTCCTAAATCATTTAACGTGTGTCGCAAGATATATTTATTGCATGGAAGATTTATAAGATACAGTATCTAATAATTTTTTATTGCGCCTCTACTGCATAAGCATAAGCTATTGCAGAAGTTTATCGTTGCCATGTCGCGGAGAATTATGACTTGCTCGCCACTAGCAATTTCATTCCAAGCATTAATGATTAATATAATTGGACGATGTTAAGTAACATCTTTGTCGTAACGCGGGACCAACGTACCTCTTGGGATGCCGATGCATGATACTTCGTTGTTGCACGCGCAGGATCGGATTTATAAATTGCACGCGGCTTAGATTGGAAGAAGTAAAATGAGATCTTCTTCGAAAAATTTTCGGATGTTATGAAAGTCTCATTATGTGAAGGAAGATGAGAAGTTATCATATATTTTTTTTTTCTATCGAAAGAGAGTGTATCGAAAATACGAGGCTCATCTTAAAAGCGAAGAAATGGTTGTATAGTTTCGGAATAGACCTGATCCTGTACATGTGTAGAAATGTCATACGATGACAGGCTTTCGTAAATGAAGGATATATATGCAAGATCCAATCTCCTCTTCGATATTGTATTAAGATTGTAGCCTCATTTTAGAGATCAAGTCGCGAGAAACGAAACACATGTAAAATTATTTTATTTAATTTACGTTAAATATTAGTACATATTAGTACATCATACTTATTCTTTTTTTTTTCAATATTTAATTTTATTAAACATAATAAAAATATTTATGTTCGATTTTCGATGACTCACTATATACATTCCAAAGTGTACAACAAAACCAACATTTAGCATTTATAATTCAATATTGGAATAAAAAATGTAAGCAATTTATTCAAAGCCATATATGTATGTGAGGTTTTAACACAAATTTCGAAAGGAGAAGGTTATATGTATATATGAGTTTTACTTCTACGCTTCTCGAATAACATTGCACTTGTAACATGCATGCACGAGCGGTCCGTGTTGCATTGTGGGTCGCTGTAAAAGTGAATGCTCTTACCGGGTCTGGATGTAGTGTTGCATGTCGTGTTGGACGCCAAAATTCCGAGCGCCACAGCCAAAGCGACGCATAAGAGGAATCCGGAAACGGCTATCACCGTTAACCCGCGTTCCAAACCGGACCGTCTCTTCCACCATGTCGGATTTCTGCGAGATAATAAAGTAAAATGAAAAAGATGCATAATTAAAATTAAATTATACAAGAACCGTACGCGATTATAAAGATGTTTTAAAAATATTTGTGCAAATATTTCAGTTCTATTTAATTATTTATTTTTTTATTTATTGATACAATAATCTCATATTTTTCTCTATAATATTGTTTTGCATTTATAAAAATTATAGGTTTTTTTATAGTGTTAGCATTCGTGATTGAGCTTCGTGTAAGGCTAAAGAGAGAAAGGATCTATTTCTCGTATTCCATAAACTCAACGAACAGGTCTCTAAGTTAACGATTATATAATTATCTGCACATTATCGCAGTTGCATGCAAAAGAGAGAGGTTCTCTTGTGACTTGATTACTTATTTAAATAACGTTTACGAATTGTCTTCTTCTGTCATAATGGTAGAATCCTCTGTTGTAATCTTTATAGCAATTATAGTAATAATGCCCGAAGGATATTTCTCTTAGTTTGATTTTATACGAAACGATATTGGTGATTTTTGTACATACATATATCCTCTGCATAAATAATATACTATTATATCAAATGTGTCAATGCATATATGTTTATATATATAATAAAAAAATATATGCAAGAAATATACAAGCTATCATCCTTTTCGCAAAATATAAATGGTAAGCTATAAACACCAGCAATTTTTTTTTTATTGTTGGATAATTACAAGTATTCTGTGCGCGGAGTATCACGGTAATGCATACGGTATGCATGTAAACGTATTCATTCCTTTTCTAATCTTTGATTTCGATCTTTTCGCGTTATTACATAGCGTGAGCGAAATATCGTATAGTAAAATGTTACTCGGGTCGCCGTTCATGGCACGTGTACCATTAGGGACGTCGGAATTTGTATAAATCGCTTTTCTTCATCGACGAGAGAACTGCCGTCTTTTTGCGGCGAGCGAAAGGCGAATCGCGATCCGAGATTTTTATCTCCGTACCAAGCCGCGCGCCATTTCTGCGTTTTATTTTTACGATCATCTCGCGCGAGAGAGATTGCGCGGCGCATTAAATTCCTCGCATAATCGCTCAACGAGACTTTGTCGAGAGATGATGGGAAGTACAGGCGCTGGAATCGAGCGTACGCAAAACTTTTTTGCAATGCTTTATTAAGTTTATTCCAGTTATTTTTGTTTCTCATTAAGATACTATCGTAAAGCATCTTTTAGCAATCTTGAGATAAAATAATTTTCGTAATAGTACTGAAATATGCAGACACTTTTTAACTTTCCGATCCCGAGTCGAAATTTTGCTCCTATTTTCAATTTATATTTTTTACGTTTATAGATTCTGGAGGATTTTAATCAGTTTTATTTATATAGAAATTGCATATTATATTGAGCTCCTATTTTTTTATCTCAGGCAATAAACAGTTTTCCATTTAGAAGATTAAAAAAAGAACTTTCGGCAAAGCACGGATTAAGTACATAGTTTCAAAATAGTGTGATCTGACTGCTTAAAGTATTAAAGTAGATGTTAGATTGAATAATGAAGTCTAAAAGGAAGAAAATTTCGACTCGACGATAATGTTAATTTTACTCTTCTGTTTTTCCTTATATCGTAATAGGATAGATTGCGCGATGTATAATTCGCCGATGATGTAATAAAAATTAATTAGAATCAATTTGCACTTTGATCACTAAAAGCTATTTAATTTATCATTCTTATTTTTCCATCACACGATGCGAAACGATGATTCACTGTGTTACTTTATCGCGGCTTTGCTAATTTCATCGCGGTCTTAATTCCTTCCTAGATCATAATTGAAATCGAGATTGTAGAGAAAAATCGTTAATTTGTAAAAGGAGAACTGATGGTAATTAGAAAAAATAGTTATCAAATGCATTTATACAAGAAATAATCGATATCTAATGGATAGTACAGTTATCGGCTTTGTATCGTATGTTTTTTATTTCGCAAGACAAATGTGTAATGATCGAGCGATGAGTCTTCTCCCCGCGCATGCACAAGTGCATCAAATGCCAGGTACTTTGACTAATAGAGAAATACATAATAGAGCTCATGGCGCGCGTAATGCAACGACGAGTGTATTGACCTCATTGAGACGCGGCGACATCACACACTTACGCCGAGGGATCCTCCATCGCGTAATGTGTAATATCGAAGTCAATGCCACGCGTTTGTATATGACGTGTAACCTTGACCCTGACATCAAGGATTTCGACATTACATATATCGCGATTTATGCGACGATAAGAGACAAACTGAAACTTTGATGCATTAAGTTGGTGTAATCATTTTCATGCATATATACATATATAATCTTATAACAAATATCTACAGATATATTTTTATTTTGAACTTTTAGCTAGGAACCCTTAAACAAGATGCTGTATCAGTTTTGATATATTTTCTTTACTGTTTTTTTTTCTAACAAATTCAACTCGAACGAAAAGAATAGAATAGTCGGATAATTTCTTCGTTATCGTGCTTTACGGTTCGATCGTTATTACATATTCATGTCAGTGCTTAGAAATAACTGCGCGTCAAAGTATCAACGATATAGCGAGAGGTCGTGGATAGGATATGATTATCCTCCGATTTTGCGGTATTTACCTCCTGGGGATCGGCGAGAGATTGCGGTCTATATTCCATATTTGTCGCACCACTAACCAAGTAATCAAGCTACATCATCGGAACGCGATGGATTGATCGATGATATGCGAAATTGTCGTACACTGAAGATTATATCTGTATTTTGATCGAGCAAAACCCTGGTAAAACATTGTAGCTTATCTCGCAGCAAGTTTAACGGATTTATGATATATATATATAGGCGAAATTGTAAGATTATATCTGTATTTTGATCGAGCAAAACCCTGGTAAAACATTGTAGCTTATCTCGCAGCAAGTTTAACGGATTTATCGGATTTATGA